CCTGTGCTTTGCTAAGCTTGTTATAAGTAGGTGCTTTAGACCACTGAGCCATCTCACCAGCCCGACCACAATAAATATTGCAAGGATGGAGCCACACAAGAGTTTAGAATTCATAACTTGCCAGGAATACTGGAAGTAGAACTGCAGGATTTATTTGCCCTGCTTGAATATGATCTTGCTTTGTTCCCATTTCTTGCTATGCCCACTTGAAACTTTTGGAATGGAAATGTCTATCTTATGCCATTGAATGTTGGAAGTGTTTAACTTTCTTTTTATTTCTATAAGGGCTTGCAGCTAAGACTTTGCCTTAAATTTCAGGGGAGATTTAAGAATCAGACATTTTACCAAATTGAAACTGTTAGGATTTTGGCAACTGTTGGGATGTACCAAAGGCCTTTTGCATGAAGATGGGTGCATCAGTCTTCTGGGGAGTGAGGAGTGAAACATTATGGTTTATGTCTAGATGCCCCCACTATGAAAGCTTCATGCAGTCATAGGTGGGGTTTTCAAAAGAGATAGCTGGATTTACAGTGTATGACTGCTTCATGGTACAATGCTAGGATTGAGGGAACTTGGATTAAGGTTTGAGTGCTACCCAAAGTAACCTGCATAAGATATAAGGAATAAGAGGGGAGCAGTCTTTGAACCTTCCTTGTTTTTGTTGTCCTCTACCCACTATAAACTGTTTCCTCTCTGTGATTCTCCTTTTAGGCCAACCTGCCATACAGCCAATCAGCCAATCATAAACTTTCTTCCCTTCACTGGAAGTGTCAGATATTTGGCCATAACAATGAGAAATGTAACTAAGACATCAGGTTTCAAGCACTGATCTAGTTGTAGCTGTTAAAGTGTCCTGAAAGACAACACAAGTTTTCTTGCCATAGACCCAGGATTTCAGTTGTTCCCTTACTTTTGTTGATTCTCCAATCACTATATTAAAGGCCTTCTCACCCCCAAGCTCAGCATGAAGTGTGAAGCAGCCCTTTGTAAATTCCCCAGCTGCTACCAAAATCCCTGGCTCATTTCACATGCAAAGCACACAGAAGAAAATAATCTCAAATTATTTCAGCCTTTCCTGGGCTTCTAATATGTCACAGCTATGAAAATATGGGCTGGAAATAGTGTTGTAGAACTTAGGATCAAGCCAGAGAAATGATATGGCACTGAGGAACTTTGGAAGGCATTTAGCTTCATTACACTAGTGGGCTGATGGGAATCTCAGTTCCAGAGCATCTTCCCTGCATTGGAATTTTACAGTTACTTATACAAGTTGTTAGAAAGAACAAAAGGCAGATAACAGGATATTCTCTAGTTGGTTACACATGTCTTGTCATATACCACTATGTCATATACTGATTCCTGTAATTATTATAATTACAGGAATTATAGTGATTCCTGTAATCCCAGCACTTGGGAGGCTGTAAACAGGAGAAACACTATGAGTCCAATCTAGTAGTGAGACCCTGAACACCCTATAGACCCTTCCCTAAAAACACTCAAAAAAAGATAAATTCTGCCCTACGCTTGTTTGCAGGCACTTTAATCTGCTGAACTATTTGGCTGGCCCTAGAATTTATTTTGTGTAAACTAATTGGGGCTACTATCATACAACAACAAGGAGATTAGGTTATAATGAACAGGAAGAATAAATCATTGTATAAGACAGAGTCAAGCTGTCCTTGAGATGATAAGTCTCTGTAAAACTCGAAAGCAAACAACACATAAGAAAATGTACTCTTAGTCAAGTTACACTTATCTTGCAACTGGTATTGAAATGTTAAGGCTGGTTAAGTTTTGTAATTTTTTGACTGTGAGAATATGCTGTATATATCCCATTTTAATCCTTCTATACTGTGAGAAGCATAATTTTTACGATTTTCAAGTTTTAAGATTTCTGTTAACATTTAAAACTGCCTCTAAGGAAGAATACATAAGGTATAATACTTGCAGTAAAGTAGTTTTAATTAGTGGGAGAGAGTGAAAAGAAAATAAACACAATATATGTGACAAGGACTATATATAAAATATAAAAAAATATGCCAGCAGGGCTTTCTGGAGGAGGTAATGCTGAAATGAAGACTTTTAGGAATAAAGAATTGTATGTACAAAGGCACAGAGCCTAGAAAGCACATCTTATATCCAAGGGAATACAAGAGCCTCACATAGTTGAGGCTGAAGTTTTGCAATAATAAGAAATAAAGCCAAGAAGAGAGAAATGTTGGGTCAGCTGCAGCTGGGTCCCTCTCAGGAGTTGAGGAAAGCTTTACTTCACTAAGATGGAAACTGTGATGATAAAGATCAAAAGGCAGATTCTGAGTTCTCTTGGCACAAAAATCAAATCTTGGTACTGAAGTAGATTTCAAATGAGAAAGGATGATTTCTGAGTTTCTGGCTTAGGCAGCTGAGTGATGGATCTTTAGATGATAGAAAGGGTACAGTACAAAGCTGAGGTATGGGAAAAGAGAACATGTGAAATTTGCATTATCTAGAGGCTAAGAGGTTTGTGACACATTCTGGTAACTGCCTACTGTATTAGTGGGGAGCTCAGTAAAGGTGTCACTTCATGTAGGTTATAGATCCCTTAAAAAGCACTGCTTGCCAGAAAGCAGCCCACTGAAAGTGACTCTGGCTTCAAGTATCAACCCTCTATCTTCAGCTGAGTGCCTCAGAGGCATGAAAAGCCCTTTGGATTTTTTATTTTATTTATTTATTTATTTATTTATTTATTTATTTATTTATTTTTTGCGGAACCAGGGATTGAACTCAGGCCCTTGTGCTTGCTATTGAGCCATCTTCCCAGCCCCTGAGAAGCCCTCAACACACACCTTGACTACACTTTCTGGATAAAGTGCCTGCAGCTTCTCAAAGGAAATGGGAAGGTGACATCTATTTAATGATAGTACCTCAACTAACACAGCTACTGATGTACACATCTTTACCTTGAACCACCAAGAGGACGGTAGGCAGTCACAGATACATCTCTGGCTTGGCAAAAACTAATTAGTCTCTTCTGGGAAAGGTATGGGTGGCACTCAATCTATAAATAGAATCATAAAGTACCATAAAAATTCAAACAAATGGCATTCTGGAAAAAAATTAATAGAGGAGATCTACAACAGTGTCTTGGCTGCTACAGACCAACTCCAAGGACCACTGAGACCCAAGTATTTTCATTTTCAAGTGAGAATGTTGGATTTTGCCATCTAAATGCTGGGTGCAGTAAAGGTCTGTGAATTTATAATCTCAGAGACACCTATGTCACCTGTGTGCTCCCACATCAACAGTCATGCAAAGCCTTCCTTGATCACTCAGGGAAAAACCTAAACATTCCATAGCTCCCACCTTCCTCCTGTCCTTTGTTTTCCAGAAGATGTAATAATCTGTCACCTCATACACTTCATTTATTTTGTCTGTTGTTATCAGGGTTGATGATGACATGAACACAGGGATTTTTGCCTGAATCTGTTTTGCTCATGGATATATGATAATTGTGATGGATTAACTAATAGTTAAATTAAATGGGAACACCTAGCTGAACTGAATCATCATCTATTTTCCTGATATGAACTCTGCTGTTATTGTTGGAAGAAGAGATCGGGTTCTCACTGTTGCTGAGGATAGATATGGTTCTCTCTGGGGGAGTTCTGGTGTTCACATTGAGTGTCGCTTCCAGGCTACTTTGCAGATTCCTCAGCCTATTTGCACGGATCCTTCATCCCTCTGGCACAGACTTTCTAGCTTCTATCACTGTTCTTTGGATATTCCCTGGACACATCCTTGATACAGACTCATGGAGGACATTACAGTGGGCTTTAGGCCTTTGCCTGGACTTGTGTAGGACACTTCCATGGGATCCAGGCCCTCAAATGGATGCATGGGATCTCTAAAGTGGACAGATCTCTTACACTCATCCTGTATTTTACTTTTTGGGTGAATATTACAAAATAATCCTATAAACTATGTTTCCTGAATTATGTCTATTCTCTTGCAAACTCTGACTACACCTCCAACACAGGAACAGCCTTTCTATACAGAGGATACATAGTAAATACCTGTTGAATGAATCAGTGACACTAGGGAGTTACGTGTAACAAAAGCAGGACTGCTCTCTCCTCCATACTCTAAATTCTCACATAGAATTTTAGTTTATAAGCACTTAATTTTAAATAAATGCTCATCCATAGGGAATTAAAGATAACCAAATCACTCTCAGGATCATTGTAAGTCCAGCAAGATAAGCTTTCAGGAAAGCCAACAAAAGAAAAGCTAGTCCTTCCGCAGTCTTCATGTCATGTGTTCCTTGGTGTCCACACCCTACCTCAGGAAACACACCTTCTAACTTATTGCCTTCCCCTAGGTAAAAGCCACTCCATGGTAGTGAAGAAAAAATCCTGACACAAAAAGGAGATACTATGCAAATAAAAAGATTCTATGCATACAAGATCTTAAAAAAATGCTAAACCAAAATATGTTAGAAGTCAGGTTAGTTGTTGCTTTTTGTGATGTTGACTAAGACAGGATATTGGGAGCTTGTAGAAAGCTTAGGACATTGGTTACTGCTTTGATTGCTGAGAATTAGACTCTGTTCACTTTTACAAAAACTTGTCAAGCTATGCTTTTTTTTTTTTTTTTTTTTCATTTTTTTTGTTTTTTTAAGGATTAAACTCAGGACCTTGTGCTTGCCAGGCAAACACTTATTCTATTTTTTTTTTTTTTTTTACTTACATACTTTTCTGTACCTACTGAAAAGTCCTATCAAAAATTTTAAGTTATTATAGCACAGTTTTAAAAAGTTTATAAAGTGAAAAAAGCCAAAATAGGAAGTGAAGTCCTTCACTGAATGATCCCAAATTGGAAAGTACTCCAGGAGTCACCCTAAACTATTGTGCCCATTGACAGAAAATAAGTAAACTGTGATATATTAACATAGTCGAATACCATACAGAAATAAGAAGAAACAACCTGCACTCCCATACTGGATGAACGGAATACATTATTATGTGAAAGAGCCCAGACATTACAGTTAATGATGCGTTCCTTTTTTCTTTATAAATGTGACATGCTACTAAACATCAGAACTGTGGCTACCTTTGTAGTGCCAAGTTACTGAGTGTAGAGGGGCATGGAAGGACGCTGCTTGGGCACTGATCATCCTCTCTTTTTGTGATCTGGATGCTGGAGGCAGAGCTATGTTCTTTTATAGGAATTTATCAAGCTCCATTCTCACATGTATACATTTCCTTATACATATGCTGTGCTTTAATAAAAAGTTTAAGTAACCTACTACAAAAATGGCCTTTTGACATCCCAAACTAATTGAATAGTTTAGCAAATATGACAATCTTTTCCTCACTAGTCTCTTTGTTGCATTAAAAGAAAGAAAGAAAAGAAGTGTGAACCTCTACTTAGACAGTCTGCAAGCCTGCAGTGAAGGCGGTCAGTCATTTATCCCCTTCCTGTTGCCAGCGTGCATAGGACTGCCTACTAGTAGGCCCTTGGCCCTTATAAACATAACTGGTGATCTGTTCATAACTCCATGTGGAGAATCAAGATCTAGGTCAAACCCACTTTGCCAATGGCATTATGTACAGACTGTCAGGAAAGCCACTTTCCTGATCACTTTATCACTTGCCTACTTGGACTACCAAGTAACCATTTGATGTTCATTAGAAAAAAATGCTGTTTCACATAACATAGATCCTTCCATTTCCAGTAAAGATATGTGGAAATAACAGCTAGGAGTCAAATACATTGATTCAACCCTCCAACACTCACCAGCTCACCTGGTTAGTGATTGGCTTGATCCTCAAATTCTGCTTATTTAAAAGCCTCTCAAGTTGTTCATGGTTGAAGTTTGACACCCCAATGGCCTTCACCAGCCCCTCAATCACCAGTTCCTCCATGGCCTAAAGGAGAACAAAAATGTTACTTGGTGTAGGAGTCTGTCTACTGCACTGATAAGCCATGTCCCTCAGCAATGCTGCATGGTAGTCTAAAACTGGATCCACTCAATACTTTTAAAATGTTTAGTTTGGAATTTCAAAGCCTTTTCTACACTCAATCTCTCATCCTAGTTGAATCTCTTTAATAGCTGAAGGATACCGAGTGAATTACCGGAGTCATTAAGCCTGTTTTTTCCTCTATAAAAGGATAACACTGTTGACACTGCAGAGTTGTATTATGATTTACATGACAGGATGAAAAATTAGTTATGATTGGAATCTAGGAAACATTCAGCATATTTTAATTCATTATTCTTGTTATCCTGGATATCTGTTGATATGTCTAATCATTATGTCCACTATTTGTTTTATTTACTCAAGTTTCTGTCCCTCTACAGAACCATCATCTCAAGCAAAATGATGTCTCGTTATTCTCCTATCTCATTTTAATCATTTAAAATTTTATGGAATTTGAGCACAGAACCTTAACCTCTAACTAGCAAGCCAGCTGGGCCACTGGCTTCAGAAAAAGCCAGTGCTAGTATTCAGGAGTAAGTCCCGAGTAGACCTGAAGCTGGTGACCAATGAGTGAATATATAGACATTGCTGCCTTGATTCTGTAATAATCACCAGAATCATATGCATGACATACAAAACCTTAAGGTATAACACAAGTATTTAATGAGAGGCAGTTCACTGTGATAGAAAGGGCAGCAGCTCCTGACACCTCAGACATATAGCCAGTATTACAGGAGGAAGGCATAGTGGTGTGTTGGCATAGGACCTCTCCCTATCTGTGATCTTTTTTTTTGTTTCTCTTCTGGATGACCTCAGGCACTCACATGACTTCATTTATCATTCTCAGTCCAATGGCTTCAGATCTCATCTCCAAAATTTATGTCTACTACAATTTTAGTTTGAAATTGCTTTCTTCTTGGGTCTCAAACACACTAATCTGCCTGTCATGCTGGTTAGTAAGTCCAACACATTGGGTCAGCTGTGCTAGAACCCATATTCGGAGAGATTCTTGCTGTCCTGGTTGTCCTTTTCCAGCTTATGGTTAACTTCCACATGACTCAAACATATTGTTTCTCTGATTTTCCAGAACAGCATTTCATTTCAAGCCTTTAGCATTTTTCATCTTGACCCTTGAAACTGGCCTTTTGGTCTTCTCCCACCACATACCTCTGTGAATTTTAACATGATGCCAATATTATGGTTCTGAAATGCTTAAGACAGACTAAGAAGAAACATAAAATATTAATAGCAGTTACCACTGGATGATGGTAACATGGAACTTTAGATTTTCTTCTTTCTACTAGACTGCATTTTCTGAAATATAATATTTAATTTAAAAATTTAAGGAAAAAAGGGAAATATACATAGTCCCTAAACGTTTTAGAGAGATAAGTCATTCTAAGTTAAAAGAAACAAGAAAGTAATTTGAAGTCTCTGAATTTTCCAAGCTCTCATTCTTAATTCACCCAGCAAACCTTAAGTTTCAATCTATGGTTTTGGGCACAAAAAGCTCAAGTTCTCACATAGCTTCCACCTGGCAAATGCATTAACAAAGGTAAAGATGCCACATGGTGTGGATCAGCTTACCTCCCATGTCTCCAAGAAGTCTGTATTACTAGGTATAACCATACCAGTGTGATCCAAAGGCATGTTGTCTTTTCCAGGCTGTGAGAACCAAAAGGAAAACAGCATACTGGATCTTGTGGTCATCCCTCCTGAGAAGATGCTGGGTATAAAGTGAGCCCAGACCCCAGGAGATTTGCATCTAAACCTTGCCACATCACCAATTAACACCAGTTTGGACATGTAACCTCCTTTTTTTAGGCCCCAGTCTCCAATTTTATAAGACATACGATCAAGTGAGCTGACTCTACTAGCCTTGAAGTTTGTTGTCCACGTCTTGAAAAGTTAGAAAGGGAGTCCTGAAGTACTGCTAATTGTTTAAAATGTTTAATAATTTGAGGTACAGAATGAGGGTAAGGGAATTTCCTATGAGCACAATGAGCCTTTTCTCAATTCCATCATTAGGACCTTGTCTTCTTTTCTTAGAATTCCAAAGAAGGGCCCAGGAGATAGCTCAGTAGAATAAGCACTTGCCTGGCAAGTGCAGGGTCCTGAGTTCAACCCTCCATACCAAAAAAAATAGAAGTGCAAAGAAGATGAGTGATAATGAAGTGAGTCCACAGGAGGTAGAAGGTAAAGAAAGCTACCATGAGACATTAAAAAAATCTAGTCACCATTCAAAAGAGTTGCAAGTATTAACTTGTAATCCACCTGCCTCATTAAGGCACAGTTTTACTGCCTAGCATGTTACAGAGCAAACGGCAGAAAACATAAAGCATTTTCCAATACTTAATCATTCAACTTGTCTTAATGTTCTATCCTGATCTCTATATATTTTTAAAGAGATATGAGAAGGATTTATTAGAAGCAGATACATTATGTACTCAAGGGCAGAGAAATGAGGTACTTGCTCCATAATTTAGTCCATAATGAACTCAAGCAGCTAACCATTTCATGTTAAAGCTATCTTCCATACTGACATTTCTTTAAGCTGTCACACAAACTTAACTACCTACTAAGCAGTACCTTGAAGCCCATGGGCCAGTGAATGAGGTAGAGGTCTAAGTAATCCAACTTTAAGGCCTTCAAACTCTGGCTGCATGCTGTTCTTACCAAGGACTTCTTGTGGAAAGTGCACCACAGCTGCAGAGGAAAAGGAAGATATTGTCACACATAACCATTCAGGCCAATACGAGGTAGTTAAACACACTACTTTATATTTATTTAGACATTCCTTCTTTAGTTTTGAATAAGTAAACAAATTCTTCAGTAATTTTTTCCTCATTATTTCCCTTCTATACCTCTACTAACAACTGTAGAAGCTAACCCAAGGGTTCTACTACAGCAAGTAAAAACAATAAACAGTAAGACAAATGAAAGTAAAATGAAAACAAATGACAAATATAGTGAATTAACAAAAATGATGGACAAAACTAAATAATAGTTATCTCTACATGGTGAGTATATGTGATCTACTTATTTTTAAATTACATTTTTATTACCTATCCCAAACTAATGAGCACACATCTGTTGCTGGCAATGAGCCACTTAGAAGTAACTCGTTTTCAGCTTACATGGTAAGATTTAGGAATTTCCAGTTACCTACCTTACTACTGTGCTCATTCAGAAGAACTTTTTCTTTGTCTAAGAACACAGCAAAGATTACTCTAGCCTTAAGAACAATGGTAAGTGGTAAAAATTAATTACCTTAAAATGAAACAGGTAGGCAATCAACTATAGAAACAACATTAACTCTTGAAATTATGGAATTTTAAGACAGGAAATTATTCAGGAGTTTATCAAATTCTTGTTTTACAAATGCTCAAACCATGAGCTGTCCTACAATCACAGGTATGGAATGACAGTTAGGACTTGAACCCATGTCTTCTGCTCAGAGCATTTTGCCTTAAGGTCAAAAGTAAAAGAATTTCATTTTTATTATCTTCTATTACCATAGTCTTATGTCTTGCATTTTTCAGAGACTTCATCTCCTATTACACTCATTGTCTCTTCCATGCCTTCCTTACTATGACAGTTTAAGCCCACATCTCCTCCCTCCTACTGTGTTAATGTCTCCTGGACTGCCTCAAAAGCATGCTCCTGTCACCTACTCTTAACATTCCAGATACAATGCAGTCTCACATGTAATATGAACTGCCCTACTTGAAAACCTACAGGTTTTCCTTTGTCTCCAGGTAAAAGGAAAGCTCCTTACATGGCACAACAAGACTTTAATGACCTTGCCCCCTCTAACCCTCAGCTTTACTTGTCATTTGCAGTTCTTCCATGTGCATGTTCTAAGAACACCAAACTTCTTACAGATTCCTGCAACTGCAGTGCTAGCTCATGCCTTGTGCCTGTGTCTAATCTGCTCCATTTTTAACACCAGCCGAATTCAGTATTCCTGGGTGGTACACAGACTTTTCACTTTAACAATCATTCCATGTGATTCTGAGGTTGGAAATTTTGTGCTCATGAGACATTCACCACTGTAGCTGAAGTGTCCACCTACTACTCAAAAACTTTCCAGCTTTAAGAATGTACTGTTAATTTTATGCCTGTACAAATATGCCAAAACAAACCCATTATGATATATAATTAATATGAAATAATTTCTTTTTTCTTTTTTTTTTTTTTTTTTTGTATTTTGTATTTTAGGGAAGGGTCCACAGGTGATCAGGATCTCACTACTAGATCGGACTCCTAGTGATCTGCCTATTTATAGCCTTCCAAGAGCTGGGATTACAGGCCCTGAAATAATTTCTTAAAAGGAATATATGAGAGGAATATAAAAGCTCTACATACCCTTATCTGAACAATCACTTATATGATATAAAACAAGTAAGGCTACACAAAAAGCTATGAAAATTATACTTGGTTCTGGTTGAAGTATAAAACAAAGTCAGTAACTCTCATTGGAAAACTGGAAAACCCTCAATGGTAGGTTACTGCAGTCCTCTCATTGCCCTAGACCAAAGCAGTTGAAACCCTGTTGTCCTCACAGGAGAAGTCCTACCTTACTGACAATGAATAGTTCCTCTCGTCTTACAACACCTTCATTGATCTTGTACTGGATTCCTTCTCCTACCTCGCTTTCATTCTCGTATAAGTATGCACAGTCAAAGTGCCGGTACCCTGCATCAATGGCCACCTTCACTGCATTAATCACTTCTCCTGGAGAGGCCTGCAAAACCAAGACAGAAATGTTTCTTCTACAGTCAGGAAACCAGCCCTTTGCATGCCTGAATGTGGGATTCGGGAATACATAAAAATTGATGTCAAAGAATTGATATCAACTATTCCTAAAATTAGTAAATGTTAATTTAATTTAAAATTAAATTTCAACTCCTTCACTTAGTTGGGGAAAATCTACACGTATTTTTAGTACCCGCAGAGAGCAGAGCTAGGTGTTTTAAGCTTCCTGAATGATCAAAGAAAGAAATAAACATAAAAGGAATAATAACTGAGGAACAAAGAGTAGTAAGAACTATCCAGGCCGGGGAGATGGCTCAGTGGAATAAGCACTTCCTGCGCAAGCGCAGGGGCCTGAGTTCAATCCCCGGTTCCGCCAAGAAAAAAAAAAGAACTATCCAGCAGAATGTTAAGTGAAATTAATCAGGTATACAAAGTTAAATATATCATACAATTTCTCAGTATGAGAAACCCAAAATACTTTAAAGAAAAAATAAACAATAATAGAAATAAGGAGATAGATCCTTTGGAAATGAGAACATGGGAGGAAAGAGAGGGGGGAAGGGGGAAATAAAAATAATTAAGATGTGTTATGTATGAACTCCCCTCAACAATTGTGATTACTATATACTGCAAACATGTACTAAGAAAAAAAATAGAGTGGGATGTCTTGGCTGCTTTCAAATTTTAGAAATTATGAATAAATTTGCAAAAAAAAAAAAAAGATTTATCAGTACCCTCAGAAACAACACAATCCATTTGTAAATAGGTAAATAGGCATATACCTGTACAAAGGAGCATATATACCAAAACTTCAATGCATAGTGTAAATGCTAGAAGCAATATAGAAGTTCAGAAAGAACCAGTCATGGTAGAGAAAGGACTACAGCGAGGGGCAGAGGAAGGTAAAAACTCACAAGCTCAGTAAACCGAAGAATTTTTCTTTTCTTTTTCTTTTTTCTTTCTTTTCTTTTTTTTGGCAGAACCAGGATTAAACTGAATAGAATAAGCAAGTGCTTATTCTATTGAGCCATCTCCCCGACCCCACAAGAAATTTTTCAAGGGCTTTCAGTTAAAAATGTATTTTTTCACTTCAGCTTCTCAGCAACACTGTGAAATTCATCAGTTTAATCACATTTGCTTATCAAGCAATAGATTCAGTGTTGTTCAAAGTTAATTTACCAAGAATATTATATAAGGTATAGTATGTAACATACCTTAAGCTATAACGATAAAAAATGTTATAATGAAGAAAATAATGATGTAATGGGGCAGATCAGCAAAGGCAGAAACTAGTTATTTTAGAAAAACTAGTTATTTAAAAAAATAAAAGGTGCATTTTTGGCAAGGGAGGTCAGGAGAAGATCAATTTTCTTACAATCTGACAAGAATGAAAGGCAGGAAGTGAAGATAAATTATATAAAAGAATCTACTTCCAGTAACCATATCTGACAATTTGGAAAAAATGGTATAAAATGAAAAAAAAATTGAGGAAAATGTGGAAGTAAAGCTTATTCCAGGCCATGGGGGTGGAGGGGATGGGCAACACAGAATACCTTTACAAAATAATCAAAAAGAAATTATCTCAATTTAACACAAACTTTCAGACAACAGGAAAGATGTAATGTTTTCATTCTACAAAACCAGCATAAACCTGAAGTCAGTTTAATCTCTCCAGTGCTTACAGAATGGCTGTCCAATGCATGCTCCCGGCTAAGATCTCAGAACCAAATAGGTTTTAAAATATTTTGACAAGTAGCTGTCGAATATTCAAATTCTAGCTCAGTCAAAAGCTCTTAAAGTGACCCCTTACATTTTTATTTTTTTTTATCAAGGACTAAGTTTCTAGTTTTTTAAGAGCATATCTGAAAGGCTTTCTCCTTAGTGTTGTGTCTGAAATCACTGGCAGGAATTACGAAGTTCAAAGCTAATAAAAGTCGAACTGCTTTCACTCTTTGATACCGAGTCTATCAGTCACCATACTAGAAAGGAAGAAACCCAAGTGCCGGTGTCTTCTCCTGTGGGCAGTGTGCCCCTTTCTTTATCTGACAAGAGATGGCACTTCCAGCTGATGGAGTCGGTGGCCCCCACTCCCGGCCAGCCAGGCCTCACCGCGCCTCCTCCCGTCCGTCCCGGACCCGCCTTCTTCACGGCAAGGATTTGGTCGGTTCACCCTGGTTCTGACCCCTAAGGTGGTGCGCATCTTCTCAGAGGCCCGCGCTGGACTCTAGAGCTGGGCCTCCGCTGGCCCCAGTCCCGGCAGCAGCACCGGCGCCGCAGCCACTCAAGGACAGCCGAGTTAAAGGGGGAGAGCATAGGCCATGGCACCTCGTTCCTCTCTCGGGCCGCCTGGGCTCCGCTAGTAACTCCAGGTCTGCACCGCGCCCCTCGGACCCAAGCCCCTAGTGACAGAGGCCGTGCATCCCCACCGAGCCCTGTCCCACCTTCCAGGTGCCCAGGCCAACCGGCGGAATCACCGTCATGGCTCCCAGCAGCCCCCGCGCCCAGGTCTTGCTGGAGCCGCCACAGCGCTAGCAACAACTTGAGGAACTCCCCACTGCACTTCCTGATTGGCTGTAGCTTGGGGTTGGTTAGTGACGCCGGCGGGCAAACTAGCTGTAGGTTTCTCGGATTGGTTGGCTTGCACAGCGGCCCCGGTTCCTGTAGCCTGACTATCTATAGTGCTCAGTGCTGTGTCTTCTCTTGCGCAATTTACGTGGTGTCACAAGCAGTCTCCGAGTAAAATGGCTGGGGTGCATATCTTGGGATAGGAGCTATCTAGATTAAACTATCTAGATTCGTTTCCCAGATACAATCAAGAGTACTAGAAAGGCAACAGTGGACAAATTGACAATTTAGATGAATTGAGAAAGCAGCTAATTAGCTTCCCTTAAACACACAGAAGCTCTTCAACTTAAAGGGAAGATAAAACAGAAGCCCAGAAGTATGCATATGTACATTTAGCTAGGTTGTGGACCACCTGCAGACCCAAGGACAAAAGGAGAAGCTTTCTGTAGAAGCTTTCTTGGTATGAGGACTCAGGCTGACAGTTTCACTGTCAGAATGAGAAAGCTGAGAAAAATGTCTTTATAATCCTACTTATAAAACTGCCTTTCAACCTCTCAGTTTCATTTCTTCTAGCAGACAGCCTGTGGGATCTCATGTCCAACACTTGGACACCTGGGTCTTAGGGCAAAACTCTATCTGCATCTTCCAATGGAAAAGATCCAAGGATATAGGAGATGTGGCTTCAGTTTTCTCTCCTGCGATTGGGGCACAGGTTAGAAGACCTCGATGCTACTCTTCCCTGGAGGTATTGCTGAGCAGAGAGCTGTCCAGAACTGGGGAGGCAAAGGACCTGGAATGTTGCACAATATGAACGACCATTGATCCAGGACCCAGCAGTAAGACTACTCTCATTAAATCCTTGGGATCCTTATGAGAAGTGGGGCTGGGATCAACACCCTGGCTTGGAAGAGGAAGCTAGTAGGTTAACTAGATATCACAGAGAGGCAGAGGGAAAGAGACAGATAAGGGAGTTTTCTAAGTGGCTGAATCACTTTCTTGTTTCTGAGATAGAATCTCTTCTTGCACAGTTTAAAGGGGAGTTTATTTTGGCTAGCAGTTACAGCCCATAGTTAGGAAGCTTTAAGGAAAAACTCAAGGCAGAGGGGCATAGTAGAAGAATGCTATTGGCATCACAGAGATTAATAAGCATAGAGAGAAGTGAGGAGCAAGAAAAGTGATACACCTTTCCTGATCATACCCTGAGGTGAACAGTTTTTTCCAACTGTATCTGACCTCCTAACAGCAAATCAGTTATATTGCTCCCATGATTCATTCACTTTCCAAAGCCCTGCCTATGAGTGCCTGAGGCCTTTGGAGGCCATCTTTAGTTTGAAACATAACACCAAGATCCTTTTTAATTTCTGGAGTTTGCAGTAGCCTTGAAAGCCCCACTGAGAACACCCAAACACAGCTAAGGTTTCTTTCAGTATTTTTTCTTTTTAAAATGTATTTTAGTACAGGGTCTACAGAGTCTCACTACATAAACCAGACTCATAGCGATCCTCCTGCTTTCAGACTCTCAAATGCTATGATTTCAGGCACACGCCCAGTCTCAATCACCCTCTCAGTGTGCCATGGCCTTGGAGCCCACACTCAGAGCTTCAACCAGGTCCCTGTGTCTACTTAAGCAGTTTCTTTTAGGTTTCTGTCTGGTTGCAGTACTAGGACTGAACACTAGGGAGCAGCTGTGCCCACTGAATTCGTTAGAGCAACTGGAGTAGGTTAGAGCTTTCTCAGAATTATTCCTTTTACCTTTACGATTTTATTTACTCTTTCAGGTTGGGAAGGAAAAACTGGGACGACAAAAAGAAAAAAAAAAAAGGAAAAGATACATTTATGTACAGACACAGGATAATTTGGATATTTGTACTGATGATCTCTGCTTGTCTTTTGCTCCGAATGCCTTCGGGGCAAGTTTGGCTGGCTTGAGTTGTGGGGATAGAACGACAGCAACCTGAGCCTGACTGCTTTGTTGAAGCAGCCACTTAAAGAACTGAGCTACGGGGCAGGCCCCCTGCTTGTCTTTTGAAAATAACAATAAATACTTAAATTTTTGTTTTCTTTTTGATTTCTTATAGCTTTTCTGTTGTTGGTTTTTTCAGTAACCAATTTTGCACATTTGTGTCTGGCAATCTAAACAACTAATTTGAATATAACATCATGCAATGCAGCGACCATTGTTGAATTCATGTTACTTTAGAGAAATTTTGTATCATTTCTAATTTTTTTTCTATTACCACTTTGTATTCTTCAAGAAATACAAAAAACATGCCTTAAGTATCTATCAGCTTGGGCTTCTAAATGTGTACATTTTCTAATGTTATATCAATTATTACTATATTTTCTTTAAAATAAATTTTTCATAAAAAAGTAATAAAAACAGAGATAAAGACAAAAAAATTAAGATTTCTTGAAAGCATGCAGTAATATCCAATCATATGTCCAATCTTGCATAACTATATCGGTTAATTTGGGCAACAGATTTGATGATAAAAATAGATAATATGTCAATCATTGCTAATCTGCTATTCTTGTTTTGAAAATCTGTAACATATGTATTGTTGTATGTTACCCTGTTTCTTTATTTGTTTTTGTTTTTCATGCTTTTTTTACTCTTCAAAATAAAAAATATAAAAAATATTCTTACTATTAAAATGCTATTAATTGAACAAAAAATTTAAGAAGAAAAAAATTACTCCTTGTAATGAATGGTTATTCATTCTTAGCTATTATCCTTCTCCTTTGATCATTGTCTTCAGTGAAATCTATGATTTGCTTATTGGCATATGGTACTGGTGACTACATTTTTGTTTTATATACTTCAGACACAAAATTACATACTATGCCTTGAATAGCTAAGATGTAATTAATAGGAAAAGAGGGCTTCCAATGGAAGGAGCAAAAAGGCTTGAGATTAGGAAAGTTCACAACTAATTATAGGATAAACTGTAATTAAAAGTGGCAACAGATAAAATTATAATGTAATAAACTCAAAGGAATACAAAACTAAAATAAATGTATCAAGTTGTGAGGCAATAAACAACAATTGAGATAAGTCTTCAAAGTAATGTAGCTAATGAATAGACATGGTGATTGAAGAATTTGATTTTAAAATTCTTACCAAAAAACACATATTCTAGGAAAATAAGAGCATTAGGTTGAAATGCAAGGAAAATACACTTTCAAAAGTGTATTTTGTTAACTGAAGTTTGCAGACCAAAAATTAGAGAAAAAGTGGGGTTACAAGGATGTCCAATATTTGGGCCCTAGCCCTTCAAGGTCAGTGAGGACTCACAACATAAGTAAATCTGTGCTGTGACATCAGTGGTGTCCCAAATTTTCTGAACAAGGAAATTATGGGCCCACAGAGCAAAATGATGGATGATGTATAGTGTACCTAAGGTGAGTCACCAAGAGAGAAAAAATTCTCTCAGGCTTTCACAGAGAGCAGATTGGTCAAGCAAGGGCCATGACTCATTCAGATGGCTGACACTGAGAGAAGATCTACAAACTGCTGTACATGGTTTCAGGGTAAATCCTGAGAGAATTTGACTGACCTTGCCAGATACAAAAGTTACATTTTTAGTTATATAGGTCTTGCTTTAACTTAGTCTTAACTGTCCAGTAGAAAAGTATAACTACAAGGTATGAAAACTGAAGTCATATTAACATGCTGAGCTGTAAAAGGATCAAGTCAACAACTTTGGACAATTGCCAGTTTTGCAGATAACCCACTACTATTATAGATGATTGGACTATATTTTGTTGAATTAGAGTAGCTACAATCTTTAGACTGGCTCCAAGTATGAAAAGGTCCTTTAAAGACTTCTCCAAATGCAGCTTCTCTAACAGCAATGGAACACACATCTTTGACAAAACAAAACAAAAAAGGAGATATAAATAAAGGACCATGTTATAGTGAAAAAAATATGTATATACAAAATAGTTAGGCTAGATATACAGCTACATTCTCTTGGTTCAATGAGAAGAAAGGTTTGTACTAGTATTTTTTAAACAAGATATCGTGTCTGCATCTTGTCCTCTGAATACAATGAAGACAACAATATGCAATATATTAATTATTGTACCTATCCTACTAAACTGTTTTGAAACTGTTTCATAGCTATTTGTTTTTCTCATTAAAATAAATAAAACATTTTAAAAATTGTACTTTGTTAGTTATGTAGATATTTTATTCTCAATAATGACAGAAGTTGTGCCAGCAAAATAGCTCAGATTCCAGGGATTCGATCTCCTGCCTGCTGTGTCATTCCTGCCCCTGGAGCATGCTGAGATGGCAATTGGGACTGGGCATGGTGGCAAGCACCTGTAATCCCAAATCTTTGGAGGCTGAAAACAGGGGGATCACTATGAGTCCAATCTAATAGTGAGAACCTGAACACCCTTCCCTAAAATACGAAAAAAAAAAAAAAAAAGAATGACAGAAGTTATAGCTGAGAATAAATAATTTATTAAGATGTAGACTTATATTAAGATGTAAACTCCCCTTGTCCAGTCATTTTCTTGGATATTGTTCACTACATAATAGCTAGGGCTTCAGCTGTATTGTGGTTTAATATAAATCCTCATTATTGATACATGCATTTGCAGGAATAACCACATCTACTGCTGCTCATATGCTTGGCTCTGCCTGTCTGTCTCTGCTTTACACAAAACCTATGACCCATCACCTCAGCAATCCCAGGGCTTGGGTGATAGATACTTTTCTGACAAAAAGGAGAAATGTGATATTTAAAGATATGAAGGGGAGGAAAATGTAGAAACAATAAGTGAGACTTGCTTCCATTGCCACTGGACAGAGATACATACTAAGGAAAAGTGGAGTCATTTGGGGCTAAAAGGGTATAAAAACAGACAACAGAAATACTAGTGATTTGTAAAGATTGAAATAAACCAAAGTGGAACCCTGACTGATTGTGTAAACTCTGCCAAGCCCATTTTGACAGACTCAGGTTTT